AGAGTGAACCAACGGCAAAAAGGAAGACCTTTCTCTCTGTCTCTCTCTCTCACTGTCCACTCTGCCTGTCTAAAAAAAAAAAAAGAAAGAAAGAAAAAAAAAGAAATAAAACAAGTGAAGGTTTCTTTCTTCATAACAACTTTTTAAGTGGAGGTTCAACACAATCGTATATCCAATAAAACTATTTTAAGATCAATAACAAATGTGCCGAAACAAACTTTTTTAAAAAAATATTATCCTCTTGTTGCGGAAAATAAAAATGATTGACTGAGAAAACATATTTAGGAACAAATCTGATTCTAGGAAATTCAAATGGACAGAAACAGTATTCATTAAATTATAAAATGCACCAGGATTCAGAAGAGTGGACAGACACCAAAGAAGAAGCCTCTGCTTTGAGTCCAAGAGGGTTACATTATGCGAGACTCGAGAAGCACTACATCTGTTCCATTCTCTTCTAGTGAAGCTGCCTTCTCTTTGAAATCGTGGTGCACAACTTCCATAGGTTAATACCTCCCTAATTTCAGTATGTGTGTTCTTATTTCATCAGGGCCACCATGCTACTCCTGTCTCCTCATTATCAAACCTAGCATTATCTACTTTCCACTTTGTATTTTATACTTACAATTACCCTAAGAAAGTATAAATCCCTATACTCATCTTCCACCTTTTGCTAGACTATCATATTATTTTTCCTGTCTACATCTATCATGAACCCCACATTAGTGCAATTTTATTATTTTTTCTTTGAAGTCAGATGTCTTTTGTGTAAATTTAAAAAGACAATGTAGTCTTTTTTTTTCTTTATCCACTTATTTATCATGTCTGGTATGTTTTATCCTACAGATCTACGTATCCAAATGGTCTGATCTCCTCTGGCATGGAGGATATTCTTTAGCATGCAAACCTACTAGAATCATTTTCTTGTCTTTCTTTCACTAATCTGGAAATATCTTTAATTCACTCTCCTATAAAAAACAAAAAGATTGATTTATTTTGAAAATAAGAGTTACAGAGAGAGGGGAGAAAAAGATCGATAGATTTTCCATCTGATGGTTCACTCCCCAGATGGCTGCAATGGCCAAAGCTGGGCCAGGCTGAAGCCTGGAGCCAGGAGCTTCTTCTGGATCTCCCACATGAGTGACATGGGCCCAAACATTTGGGCCATTTTCCACTGCTTTTCCCAAGTCACGAGCAGGGAGCTAGATCAGAAGTGTACCAGCTTAGACACGAACCAGCACCCAAATGGGATGCCAGCATCCGCTGGCAGCTTTTCCTGCTACGCCACAACACTGGCTCCTTACTCTCGTTTGAAGAATATTTTTGTGGATAGAGAATTCTCAATTCTCACCTTTCTCATAGCACTTTAAAGAAAATTTCTGTCTTTGGTTTTAGCAGTTTAAGGTGATATGTCCTGGTTTGGATCCCTTTATAGCTTTGAAATATGCAAAGTTCTTTACATCAAAGTCCAGCTCTCTGCTATGGCCCGGGAGTGCAGTGGAGGATGGCCCAAGTGCTTGGGCCCTGCACCCGCATGGGAGACCAGGAGGAAGCACCTGGCTCCTGGCTTCGGATCGGCACAGCGCGCCAGCTGTAGCAGCCATTTTGGGGGTGAACCAATGGAAAGGAAGACCTTTCTTTCTCACTGTCTAGCTCTACCTGTCAAAAAAAAAAAAAAAAAAACCGATTTTCTCTTATTTGTCTATAAGCATATTTTTGATAGTTTCTTTATGTCTTTGCTACATTTAACGTATGTGCCATCCAGGCACCTACTGATTCCTTTTATTTTTGTGACTATCCCCATCTCCATTTCTGTTGGGTACAGAGATTTTTTTATTGAGTCCTGGTCACTGTGAGTAAGACACTGTGGAGAGTATGGATTCTGTTATCTTCCCGCTGCAGATTAATAATTCTTGCTAAAAAGCATTAAAAAATTGGCTGGATCTCTTTGAACAAGTGTTGGCTTACTGATTCACTCTTTGAGTGCAGATTTATACAAAGTCTAAGACTCGGGGGACTGGCGCCGTGGCTCACTTGGCTAATCCTCCGCCTGCGGCGCTGGCATCCCATATAGGCACCGGGTTCTAGTCCTGGCTGCTCCTCTTCCAGTCCAGCTCTCTGCTGTGGCCCAGGAAGGCAGTGGAGGATGGCCCAAGTGCTTGGGCGCCTGCACCTGCGTGGGAGACCAGGCGGAAGCACCTGGCTTCTGGCTTCGGATCAGCGCAGCGCCAGCCATGGCGGCCATTTGGGGGGGTGAACCAATGGAAGGAAGACCTTTCTCTCTCTCTCACTGTCTAACTCTGTCAAATAAATAAATAAAAGTGCAGTAGGAAAACATGGACCATGGTTATTTAAAAAAAAAAAAAAAAACAAAAAAAAAACAAAAACAAAAAAAAAAAAAAAAAAACAAAGTCTAAGACTCGGCAAGACTACTTCCAAACCCTTTATCTTTTCCATGCTTGGAATTACACTGCTAGATAGGTTTAGAGTAATTCTTAAGGGTTACAAAGGTGTTAGTTAACTGGCTTTCCAGTGCCAGAATTCTAATATACCCTAACACTGTGTTCTAAGATTATGCTGTTTTAAGATTAATATAATCCATTATTAGTAAGACTGGTACAGTCTTGTTGTTCACACATGGAGCCCAATCTACATGAAGCGCCCCCAAATGGAGACTTTAGGCAGTCTCAGACTCTGTGCACAGTTTCCACTCCAATGCCTTACCCTGCAGTTTCTACAAACTTCACTCCGACCTCTTCTCCTAAGCTCTGATGAAATGTTATACCCTACTGTAACTCTACTTTTTTGGAAAAGAGTCACAAAGTGTCCCAATCTTGGGCACTGTTGAGGGACACCCCCTGAACTCACTTCTGCCAAGGTAAAAGTCTTATGCAACCTATTGTCCACTGCCAGAAAAAGTTATGTCAAGTACTGTGTTCAGTCTTACAGTTGTATATAACTGAAAGCCTAATTTGGTACCCATTACTCCTTCCATCATGGATAGAGGCATAGTATCACTTAATCCTTACTTTATAGGCAAAGAAATTTATTAACCTTTGTTTCAAACTTTATTCCTGGGTTTCCTCAAGCTTATTTAGCTGCCAAGAATTAACTGTGTATAAGCAAAAACTGGAAGAGCTGCACTATCTAAGGGGCTTGAGTTTAAAAATATTAGAGATCTATATTTTATCAGAACATAAACAAAACAATTTTAAAAAGCAGTCAAAAGGGGATGGCACTGTGGCTTAGTAGGCTAAGCTTCCATTTGTGGTGCCAGCATCCAATACATGTACTGCTTCAAATCCCAGCTGCTCCACTTCCAATCCAGCACTCAGCTGATGGCCTGAGAAAGCAGCAGAAGATGGTTCAAGTCCTTGGGTCCCTGCACCCACGTGCAAGAACCAGAAGAAGCTCCCGGGTCCTGGATCTCGACTGGCCCAGTTCTGGCCATTGTGGCCATTTGGGGAGCAAGCCAGCAGATGGAAGACCTTTCTCTCTGTCTCTAACTCCACCCCTCAAGTAAGTAAATCTTTTATATTTTGACTGCTTTTCTTTTTTAATAGCAATTTCCAGTTAATTTCTTCAAGTTTTAGTTTCTTCACAAGCTGACTCTATTATAGTTTGCCTCAGTCTTAGAAATCTCATCAAAATTCTCCACAAGATCTCGAACGACTTCATCATCATTCTCTCCAGTATCAAGTGGTGTTTTTTGATCCCCAGATTGTTTGGATAGAGCTTCAGCTAGCCTCCTCAAACTAGTCAGGCTGTCAGCACCACTCTGGTTTAAGATGCTAGGAAACACTTCTGTCAGCTTTGTCTTGGAATGATGATATAATGATGAAAAGTGTTTGCTGCCAGAGAAGTCTGAACTTTAGGATTGTTCAAATAGATCACTGTTCATTGGTTTGTAAACATATTCACCTCTTCAATACCAGAGATGCTGTTTACCCTTAATTTCTTTAAGGAGAACTAAAATTTTTTATCATTGTTGTATGAACCACCTTTTTGTACGAGCAGTTCCTTTCACCAAAGTGCATTATGCCTGCAATTGGTTGAGTTTTTCCTGGTTTGTGATAGTTTCTTTCCTCTTGTCCATGCAGAAATAGGATCATGCCCTATTTGATCCGTCTCAGGCAGATCAACTGAGATTAAGCTCGTACACAGGGACACAAGAGCACATAATCCGTTTTAAAGATGTTCCCTCATTAAGATAAATTTTAAGAAGTCAAATTACTGGTTCAGAGTAATATGACATTTTCATAGTCCATGTAATGTATTATATAAAGGTGTACCAAAAAAAAGGGGGACTTCAGCTAATTAAATTGGTATATATTTGGACTTCTATTATATAACCAGCAAAAGAATTTAAAGTAAATACTAAAAAACAAAAAAAAAAATAACACAAGGGATAAAATTTGGGCATAGAAACTTCTAAGTAAATAAAGAAAACAACTAAAGGGCTTGCAGTTAGCAGAAAGTAAGCAAATGGGAACAAGAAACCAAATCAACCTAAAAGATCTTCTGAAAAAAGAAATCATTCATTGAACACTGTCACTCACAGAATAGGAAAGAAAGATCAAAGAAACAAAAATGAGGAAGTTTAAATTTCTTTGTCCATGTAGCAAACTTTATATTATACACATCTTACACCAAAAATAGTAAAAAAAAAAAAAAAAAAAAAGAATATATACTTATATGAGATGCTTCCTTAATCACTCTGAAAACTAAAAAAATCTTGAGTACAGACAAGAAGGAACAGACAAAAATTTCGTAAAAGGTATATAGTATTAATATTTAAGGTCATTAATATAAAGTGCTAGAATGACTTGTGACTTTAAAAATATGCCCTAGTGTGAAGAAGTGATTTTGTGGAAGGAGATGGAACATAGACAAGTGAGTGGACTGAAGGATAGCAAAAATCAGCTGTTTCTAAAACATAAAGAACACAGTAGCAAAGGAAATATCTACAATCAAAATAATTTAGATTTATATTTATTTACCGTCCCATCTTCCATCAGCTTCAGACAAGAACCAAAATCTGCTAACCGAATATGTCCATTCATATCCATCAATATATTGTCAGGTTTAATGTCTCTGAAAAAATAAGTATATTTCATTTTTAGTTGGGGAAAAAATAAACATAATTAGTTGCTTGGTAAAATAACCTGTTTGAAAAAATCTCAATTTCTTTTCAAAGTAGCACTGTAAGAACATCCAATTATCACATGGATACAAATATTGGTTGTGATTCACATTAAAACTTTCTTTAAAACGTGTAATTTCAGAATTCTTCACAAGATACAAAGCCTCTCTGGTAACTGTCATTCAGATTAAATTAATCATGCCATCTTTTCTTTGGATTTACATAGGTTTCAATGGTATGCCTAATTTCCACAAAGAGTCATAATTACCTTACAGCTATAAAAAATATTATCTGCAAGCCTTTGATATTTGTAAGGGAAAAATATTTTTTCTGGTCCTTTAACCTAACTACAGATAAATTCTCATGTACTATAGGTCATAGCAACACAAAGGACTTGCTTAACAAGGGTGACTTTGCAGAAGAACTGAAACACTTTTTTTTTGTAAAAAGAAAAAATTAAAAGGCATACATTGCAAATTTCTCCTCACATCTCCCATCTATCCATTCTACATTGCCAACCCAATGACTCTGTTTTCTTAACTATCCTTACAGAGTTTTTGTTATGTATATAAAAGCAAGCATATAAATATCTTATTTTTATATAAATAATGTATTATACACAGCAATATACATATTTCTTCACTTACAACAAATTTTAGAGCCATCATTCTTTTTTATAGATTCACAAGATCCTCTAATATGCTCATGGCAAAATTTACTTAATGGATCTGCTGTTGGTCAACACTTGAATTTTCTACCCTATTTTCCTATTACAAACTATGGTGTAAGGATGTTTTCAGGATAAAATTCTAAATGTGTGCATAAAAAAATGCATTTCAAATTTTGATAGATGTAACCAAAGTAGCCCACCACAACAGTTGAATCAATTTACATTCCCAGCAACATGATGTGAAAATATTCTGCATTTGGGCAGTTTGCCTATCTCTAGGTAAAAAGTGGCAATGAAGTTAGTATTAAGTTTTGTACTATCAGTACACTCCATTTCTCCATACACTCTGAAGCTAATTTGTATTTCTGTGGAAATGTCCCTTGCCTATTTTACTACACTGTAGTCATCCTCTTACTGATTTCCAGGAATAATTCTTATGTTAGGAATATTGCCTTTTACTCATTATATGAGCTGCAAGTCTTTTTTTCCCCTCGAACACTTGTCTCTTGACTTCATTTTTTGACTTTGCCTCTCATTCAGTCTTCTTGTGTGTTTTAAATTATCAATGTTTTCTTTAACAAATTTGTGGATTTTAATTCATACGGATATTTTTACCTGCAAGGATATTATAAAGCAACTTGCCCATGCCCCATTCTGTAAGAATTCCAAACTGTCTCAAATTAAACTTAATAACCTCCCCTCAACAAAATCTCAGTCTCTTCTAGTGCTCCCCATCTTGGCCAATGGAAATGCAAGCTAGAAATGAGATGTGTCAGGGAACAAATAAACATTCTTGAAGTCTCTTAACCTATCATTCCTCTGCTTTCCATCTACATCACTGACAATAAATCCTATCAATTTTAACTTCTAAATGTCTTACAAATATTTATTAAATCTCCACGACTATCTCTATAGTCAAAGTGCTATTAACTTTTGCTCAAGTTGTTTAATTGCTTCCCAACTTACCTCTACATTCATTCTTGCCATTAATCAATGTATTTTCTACTCCAGAGCCATGGTATAACCTGCACACACAAATCTTTTCACCTCATTCTCCTGCTTAAAAACTTTCAGTGTTTTTTTTTTTTTTTTTTAAATATTTATTTGGAAAGTAGAGTGACAGAGAAGCAGAGGCAGAGAGAGGGAGAAAGATCTTCCATTCACTGGTTCACTCCCCATATGGCTGCAACAGATGGAGCTGAGCGGATCCAAACCAGGAGCCAGGAGTTTCCTCCAGGTTTCCCACACCGGTGCAGGGGCCCACAGACTTGGGCCATCTTCTACTGCTTTCCCAGGCCATAGCAGATGGAACCTGAACCGCATTGCAGGCAGCTGCTTTACCTGCTACTCCACAGCATCAGCCCCCTTCAGTGCCTCTTTTTAATTTAAAAAAAAAAAATTTTTTTTTATTTTTACAGGCAGAGTGGACTGTGAGAGAGAGAGAGACAGAGAGAAAGGGCTTCCTTTTGCCGTTGGTTCACCCTCCAATGGCCGCCGCGGCCGGCGCGCTGAGGCCGGCGCACCGTGCTGATCCAAAGGCAGGAGCCAGGTGCTTCTCCTGGTCTCCCATGGGGTGCAGGGCCCAAGGACTTGGGCCATCCTCCACTGCACTCCCGGGCCACAGCAGAGAGCTGGCCTGAAAGAGGGGCAACTGGGACAGAATCCGGCGCCCGACTGGGACTAGAACCCGGTGTGCCGGCGCCGCTAGGCGGAGGATTAGCCTATTGAGCCACAGCGCTGGCCCCTTCAGTGCCTCTTAAGATAAAATTCCAAACTGGTATGCAAGTTCCTCCATATTTTCTGGATTTACCTCATGATATCGCCTCTTGTGCTTTAGGCTCTATCCACACTTTACTCATCTTTAAACATACATGCTATACACCTTTCCAACTAAAACTGTGACAAATGCTGTTCTCTCTGAAAGGCTCTTTCTCACCTCACTTCCAACATCTTCAGAATTGCAATTCAATGTTAACTTTAGGAAAGCCTTTTCTGATGCCTCAGAATAGACAAGTGCCCAATTTATATCTCTACAGTCATCATCCTTGGTGGTTTCTAAAACAAACCTAATTTTTTCTATTTTTAAAACTTTAAGCAACAATTTACATATTTGTGGGTGCTGTATATACAAATCATAAGTGTAATTTAAAATGAACTGTTGGGCCAGTGCTGTGGTGTAGTGGGCTAAGCCTCCACTTGCAGTGCTGGCATCCCATATGGGCATTAGTTCATGTCCTGACTGCTCCTCTTCCAATCCAGTTCTCTGCTATGGCCTGGGAAAGTAGCAGAAGCTGGCCCAGTACATGGGCCCCTACACCCACGTGGGAGACCCAGAAGCTGCTCTTGGCTCCTGGCTTTGGATCAGCGCAGTTCCGACCATTGCAGCCTTCTGTGGAATGAACCAGCAGATGGAAGACCTTTCTGTCTGTCCCATCCTCTCCGTCTGTAACTCTACCTCTCAAAGAAATAAGACCTCTTAAAAAAAAAAAAAAAAACTTAATTGTGTAACTGGCTGATTAATACTTATCTCCCCTCTATACTGTAAGAGCTACCAAGGTTATCTCCCCTCTATATTGTAAGAGCTACCAAGTGCCATGTCTATTATAAACTATACACCCACCGCACATAATCCTTAGTGCCCCGTATAGTACACTGTATACAGTAGCTGCTAAATTAATAATCAACTCTAAAACATACATATTTCTACACTCAAACATGTTTGAAATTAGTACATTTTAAAATCAATGGCAACTTACAATGATAATAAACAGTATTTTTTTCTTATAGTACTTGAAATATTGGCATATTCCAAAATCAGAAGCTTGATGAAACAGAATATCTGCTGGAAAAAGCAATTCTTACAATGTTTAGTGATTTCATACTATATCATTGTATGTGCCAGAATTTCCCTAACAATGTTCCTGCTCCTGAGAACTTCCATTATTCCCAGTTTTTCAGTACTAAGGAAAACACTATAATCAACAATCTTACATGCAAGGAAACTCCTTACATACATTTTTATGGATTCACAGACATTTCCCTTAAGATAAATTCATATTAAATTGGGATTAAATGATAGATATTTTTGAAATGTTGAGAGAAATTATCTAACTGCTAAGGAAAAAAGGATTTTACCATGTTCAACATAGAAACCACTGAAGAAAAGTACCTGGTTTCTCACATCCATGACAACACTAGGTAGAATCAGTCACTTACTCCTTGCCATTCTGATAGGGGAAAAAAAACAGTAAATATCTAATTGTTACCGAGATTTCTTTGATTATTTGCTAGGTTAAATATTTTTAGGAGCCTGCTCTGTGGTGCAGTAGGTTAAGCCTCTGCCTACAGTGCCAGCATCCCATATGGATGCAGGTTTGAGTCTCGGCTGCTCCACGTCCAATCCAACTAGAATTATTATTTTTAAAAGATTTTATTTATTTATTTGAGAGGTAGAGATACAGATAGGCAGAGGGAGACACAGAGACAAAAGTCTTCCATCCGCTGGTTCACTCCTCAAATGGCCACAGCAGCCAGAGCTGGGCCAATCCAAAGCTAGGTACACCAGGACTTTCTTCCAGGTCTCCCAGGTGCATGCAGGGGCCCAAGCACTTGGGCCATCTTCTATGCTTTCCCAGGCCATAGCAGAGAGCTATATCAGAAGAGGAGCTGCCAGGACACGAACCGTGCCCATATGGGATATTGATACCACAGGCGGAGGCTTAGCCTACTACTCCACAGCGTCAGCTCCTTCTCTTACATTTATGTATTAAAAATTTTAATTGCTTGCCATATATGGTAAAAATAGAGAAATTTCTTTTAATTGCAACTTTTGTAATAAATTTCTATTTCAGATATGTAGATTAACTCTACTTTCCTCTACACCGTTTTCTTCATCAGGAGAAGAAAATACAAGAATAAAGAGTAAACTACAATATTTTTATATAAAACTGTTATATCTTTATATGAAAAGATGGGCTCCTTCATGAGATGAAGGATGTGATATCTATGATTATCTAACAACTGTTGGCCTGCAGTCTGAGTTTTATGCATTAACTTTTTGAAAAAAGAACAAGCCACAAAACTATCAGGTGGGGTTTCCTAGAAAGGATTTACAACCTCAGAGCATAGGCAGGTTAACAACACAGTAGAAACCCAATGAAAGGGGTCAAGGGATAAAGATTGACTTTATAGCACTACATGTTCTTAGCTCCAAGGTGAAAGCAACATCAAAGGGAAAGTATAGTTACATAAGAGAATTGGCAGGAAAATCATGTTATAAAC